CACTCACAGCATTCACTCACAGCATGCACTCACCGCATTCACTCACATCATGCACTCACAGCATTCACTCACAGCATGCACTCACAGCATTCACTCACAGCATGCACTCACAGCATGCACTCACAGCATCAGCATTAACTCCAGTTAACCTCAGTATGTCTTTGGACTGTGGAGGGAAATTGCAATACCAGGAGGAATCACCACGACGACATGGGGAGAACATGCAACTCCACAGACACGGAGCCATGGCAAAGATACAAACCTGAGTCCCAGAGATGTGAGGCAACAGTGCTGACTGGACCATTTTCAGTATTGTTTATGCATTTGTGGCAAACCCGTCCAAAAATATTCCCATTGAAGTGTTCATGGCCAACTTGCAAATAACTGGAACTGTGAATGTCACATTTGTGAATCTGGATGGGCAACTGCACGTGAGTTTTATAAAAGGTGTTATGGGCCGTAAGTGTTTTGGATATGTCTACAGGACACCTCAGTCTTCTGCCCCAAGCTCCATTCGCCAGTTGCTGCTTCAGCCCGCCTCCCAGTTTCCGGCCACGCCCCTTCTGCCCGCTGACCTCTGACCCTGGCCCTGTGTTCCGGTCGAGGAGGATAAAGCCTGCTGGTCACATCTAGCTCGAGCTACTGCTCAAGCTTTGTCTTTTGCTATTGCTGTGTTGGTTTGCTGTTTTCTGATTGACTTCTGTGTATGACTGTTTTGGTTTTCTTGGTTTCTGACTTTCTGCTTTGCCCTATTGGTACCTTTGCCTTCGGTTTGTTTGTCTTCTGGTTTGAACTCTTGCTTAGCTTCTGACTACTCTCTTTGCTCACCCCTTCGGATACCGTGCTTTTGGACTGTGTGTTTTCTGTACATGTCTGTTAGGTGCGTAAGGTGTGACTGTCTTTTTGTTTCTGTGAACGTGGTGTTTACTGTTGTTTTGGTTAGGGAGTTACACTTAGTCTTTGTCATTTAGTTTCCTCTTGTTTTCATTACCTTTAGAGTTAGCTTAGTTTGGGACGTGTGCGTTAGCTGTTTTGGTTGTTATTTTGGCCTGGGTCACTCCCGAAGTTTGTTGCACCTCGTGTCTGTGAAGAAATATAAAAAACTACAAAAAAAGATCCCTGTGTTTCCTGTGTCCCCCTTTCCCGTTCCCTGCTTGTCTCGCCTTCCCCTCTCCCTTCTCCTTTACCTTTCTGTTGATCCTCAAACCTAGACTGGGGATAGTAACAAAAGCTATGATATCTAAGATCACAAAAAAATACATAAGGAATATGTTTCTCAGTGCAGGCGGAAGGATAAGATAAATAGTATGAAACCATGTAATGGATGCTGACTGAGCTGTTCTTAGACGCCCCCCGGCATTTTCGTTTTGTCCGATCATGCCACTCCATTCTGCTTATCTGTGCTAGTGCCATGGTGAACCCCAGCCTCTCTGCCCAGAATAAAGTACCACCTGAGGAATCCTTTGTGCTGATGGTTGTCTACTGAGACAACAGTGCTGTAGTTGCAGGACGTTCTCCAGGAGGACTCTTATTGCAGGATATCAGTGAGCTCCGGGGTGAAACGTGCAATTAAAAACTATTCACTACAACACTAGCTATCAGGAACAGTGACTGAAGGCCAACAAAACACAAATGTGTCATCATTTGTGGGTGACTGATGGAATGAGTTGTAAAGTAGTTTTCATTCTGCAAACATAGTATTTGCTCTAATGCAAAACAACTTACACAGCATCTTGCTTGTCCAGCTACAGAACTACAGAAGTAGATGTCATGCTCAGGCAAATATCAAGTTAGAATTTATGCGTTTGGAAAGTTCTGCTCAGAGCTAACAACTGGAAGTCTCCATTAGAAGCGCCACTACCCAACGCAACGCTGCTTTCTGTAACTCATATACCCTTTTTGTAGAACACATTATCGACACTGATCTTCACATAAAATCCCTCTCCAAAATCTCATTCTTTCACCTCCATAACATTGCTTGTCTACACCCATTTCTGTCCAGTACTGATGCCCTTACTCTGGTACATGCATTCATTACATCCTTTATTCACTACTGCAACTCCCTCTTCATGACCTCCCTGCAAAATCTACACAAAAGCTTCAGTATATTCAGAACTCAGCAGCTTGAGTTCTCATTCACGCTAAACGCTCAGCTCACACCCATCCTGTCTCAGCTACACTGGTTACCTGTTCAGTCTGAGATCAAATTCAAAACATGCTTCTCATTTTTGAAGCTCCGCATAACCTCACTCCTCACTACCTCACTGAACTATTGACTCCCTACTCACCCTCTCAGATCTTCTAATAATAATCTCCTTGCTGTTCCACGTACCAGACTTTCCATCATAGGTGGCAGGTCCTTCCTTCCTTCTCTTCCTTCAAATCTGAACTAAAAACATTTCTCTTCCATGAACTGTCTCTTCCTGATTATTGTTTTTTTCCCCCTCTTGTAAAGCTACCTTGGGATTGTGAAAGATGCTATATAAATGTAACACATTATTATTACTAACATTAAGGAACATGAAATAAGTGCAATCACTGCCAAATTTTATTCCTGTAAACGATATTGACAGGGAATGAAATTATTTCTTTTGACAGTTTACAGAATTTACAGCAAATTAATAAAATTTCTTTTGAAAATGTGTTATCTTTTAGTTTGCGATTTCTTGTTTCAAAAAGGTTTGAGTTAGTGCTCATATTTTTGCTTCATTATCGCCACCTACTGGCAGCAAATCATCTTCTTAAACTCAGTGCCTTAGGATATTGGTTTATATCTTTTTTTATATCTGTTTATCTATAACTCTTTTATCGCTCTATAGTTGCCTTCCTAATAAAGCAATTTCCCTCCAGGATCGAAAAAGTTTTTTTGATTCTGATTCCTCATACTCCTTCACTGCTTCTCAGATCCACACTTCCTGTCTCCCTAATGCCACAGAGCACACCCCCAAGTTATCAAGCTCCAATCCTCCACACCAAGACTTTGCATCTGAGCGGACCAAGTAAGGATAGGCAAGACTTAGATGGGATTAGACCCGTGGTGCTGAAAGCACACGGTAGCCAGGTGGATGGAATTTTTCAACACATGTTCACCCTTTCTTTGAGCTTGCAGAAGGTGCCACATTTGTGGAAGATGTCCTGCATAATATCGGTGTCGAAGAAGGAACAGCTCTCAGTCCTTTCCCATATTCCAGCATCTTGTGAATTGGGTGCTAGCTGGGTTAAATGACAGCGAAGCCAATTTAGATGATGTTTTGTACAGATCTGCCTGATTTGATCGTCTGGATCAAATTAGAGAGTTATTAGCATGCCCAGCATAAGCTAACATAACCATCAATCTGGCTACATGTGAGTTTGGTAAGGCCACGGTAACTTGTCTGGAAAAGGTAGTTGACCATGGACAAGAGTGACCTGTCAAGACCAAGATCGAGACCATCTGCAAATTACAGATTTACAGACCATGAAAACCTGCTAAACAAATCAGGTGGGTGGGCTTTGTTACCAGCGTGACCCGGTAAATGTGGGATGCAGCCAAACAAAAAGGAAGATGATAGAGAGGGATTGGTTATCATGACCGTCAATGTTGCCCATTCCCTTCGCAATGCTATATCCATAAGCATGGTGTTCCAGAAAGTGCTAACAGGGCACGTTTCTGCCCGAAGCCCTAAGACTGTATGAAACCTTCTCCCAACAGGCTCACACTCATTCCTGGCTACTGGAATTAAACATGAGACGTCATCTCTCAACAGTGTAATACAGAATCAAAATATTAAATAAGGGATAAAAGAGAAAGGGGGAAAAACAGTACAAACGTGTCTATATATCTGTACAGTTGGTACACAACAGATTCTAGGGAATGATGTAATCGGTAAATGAGAGTGTCCTACTATAATGTGCAGGTGCAGGAGTGCATGAAGTGAATGTGACAAAGTTCAGGTTTCGGCATGAATCGTACAGAAATGTGTTACAAAAGGATCACGAATGAGACAGAACTGAGGACCTGAAGTGCGCCTGCAAACGGCACAACACACCGTCTGCTCTAAGGAAACTGCAGCCAAGAGGTTCATGAAATCATCCTGTTACTTACCATACCATACCATACTTTATTTATGAAGCACTTAAAAACAACCACACATGACCAAAGTGCTGTACAGAGAATTTACAATGAAACAATTGTAGGTAAATAAAAGTTCATAAAATAAGCGCATATACAAAATAAGATGATATACCATCAAATAAAATAAACTAAAATCAATATCTCACAAGGGATCGAAAGCCAAAAAACAGCTCATTCAGTGAAGTGAAGAGTACTAAATATTATGTTTATACAGATAGGTACTGAAAATTGATATACCCAGATAAATGCTGAAGCCACTGGCAAAATACCTTTTTTCCCCCAAGACCATTTCAATATATGTGAGCTGGATCAGAAAATGTACGTTTAAAATGCACTTTATAAACAATCATGATACGTATCTCACATTAATCATTCCATGGCTTATTCATCATTTGCCTGTGATTATCTCAGCACTGAGATCTGCACATCCGACTCCAGTGTACTGATGCAGAAAACTATAATCCAGGTTCTATCTGCATTGAACTGAGGGAAAACAGCACCGTACAAACGTCCTGGGCCATTCCATGGCGTCCCTAACTGTGGACCTGGGGACAACTTTGGAAGTAGAGAAGGTTTCGCAGAGAATTGAAGGAGGCTGGCATCTGTTTGTAGATGCCTTTAGCAGAATTCTGTGCGACCTTGTTGTTGACCTGGGTACACAGATGATGCAGTGAAGAAAGTGAGATTAATTGCATTTAGTACAGGGACCATAATGGTAGCAAATATGCAAAGAGCTATTTAATTTCCCATTATGACAGCATACAAAACAATATCTGGCAAATACTGGATGGGAATTTTTTATATCCATCCACATCCCAACCGCTTATCCGGTACAGGGTCAAGTAAATACAGAGGACTAATGACAACAACCAGAAACAGCTGATCACACGGGGATTCCACACGAGGTTAACGAGGGGGCGTGGCACACAGAAGGAGCGGACGATCAGGGCAGGACACAATGTTTTTTTTTTTACTTTACACATTGTTTGAATACGTTTATTTTCTTACTTTACAAATTACTGCTTTGATAAATGTGCTTAGATGTGTTTAGTACAGTATATGCTCTTCTTGTTTTATCTTTTTCATTTTGTGTTTAAATGCTAAAAAAACATATTTAGGTGTAATTTCTTGGGGCCGGGAATCAATTAATTGGTTTTCCATTATTTCTTATGGGGAAAATTCGATCAGAACTTTTTAGGATTTGATCCGGAGTTCTGAACGGAATAAATTTGAGTTCTGAGGTACCACTGTATATAAAAACTGAATAGAAATGAATCTTTAAAAAGAATTTTTTTTCTAGGCTGTTGCATAGCTTAGGGGGTTGAGCATGTCACTTAGAATCCACGATGTCTATATTCATGGGTTCAAAGCTAGCTAAGACCAGTTTCATCTGTTATTTTGTATTTATTGTCTTTTTAACTCCTTTTTGAGTTTTCTTATTCTAGGTTTGTCTTGCTTGTGCTTTGGTTGTACTTTGCTTTCTTATTTCTTTTTCTAGTGTAGTATCTCCTAGTTCTCAGTTTTAGGTCTTGTAGGATTCTTAGTTCTTTGCTCATTAGTATTAGTTATTTCACCGCTGCCATGTCTGTTGCCACTGCCTGTGTTAATTGCCCATCTGCACCTTCAGTGATTGGTTGATTTGTCCTATGTTCTACACCTGTCAATCCTCGTTAGCTCCAATCACCACTGTATTTTAGTGCTTCCCTTTGTTTTGTTCTTTGGTCAATCATTATATTAGGTGCCTGTGCTAATGTTGCTCTGCATACTTACCCTAGTCCCATGGCCTGTACTATGAAGCAGGATTACTGGCTTATTGGGGTAACTTGTCGGATTTAAGGTACCACAGTTTAAATGGACTAAATATTCGCTCACTTACATTTTGCCCAGACTACCTTAAATCCCACAAGTTACCCTGATAAGCCAGTAACCCCGCTTCATAGTACAGGCCACTGCTCCCTAGTTGTGTTTAGCTATGTTTTTTTTAGTTTGTTAATCTGTGTTTTTTCCTGTTTTTGTTTTGACCCGCAGTCCTGTTATTTTGAGCTGTTCTCCAGTGTTCATTGTTTAATTCAATAAACCCATGCTTGTCTCCGCGAGTGGATCATCACATCTTTTCCCTGCCCGCGTCCATAACAAAAAAACTAACCAAAACTCAACACGATTTCAAAAGACACTGAAAGGCAACCCTTCAGTAAAGGTCTTGAGTGAAATGAAATAATGCCAAAAAGGGAACATAAGAACATAAGAACATAAGAACTATACAAACGAGAGGAGGCCATTCGGCCCATCGAGCTCGCTTGGGGAGAACTTAACTAATAGCTCAGAGTTGTTAAA